GATCTCCAGCTTGATTCTTTCCTTCTCCATTCCCAATGAGCAGGACTCCCCCAAGGGACGGTTAGAAGCTGCTGAGGTGGAGGGAGCTGGGAATTTGATGGGGATAGAAGGGAGGGGAGGAGGGTGTGGCTTCAAGCCAGGTAGCAGGGAAGCTGAGCTGCTGGTGGGCGAAGTGGCAATTGCTCTCACAAATTGGCTGGCAGGCAGGCTGGGGGACCCTGTCAGTGCAGTCACTCGTGGGAGGGAGATTAGCTAAAACTCATCCGAACTCGCATTGATCACAGCCGAGGACGTGGGAACGGAGGGTTTTGGAATGAAGGAGACTGACAGCTGGGCGGGTCTGGGGTGGAGGCAGATTGGGGAGAGAGAGGGGCTTGGTGGCTTCACTTGGGCTGTCTGCAAGGCTGGGGTGGTTTGAAGTAGAAGAGAAAGTGATGTCATGTGCTGCCTGGATTCCTAAGAGGAGGAGCTGCATGCTGGAGGCGAACACAGAGGAGGGCTCCCTGACCATGGATCTGGGGTAAACTGAGGCACTCAAGAAGATCTCTGAATTTAACTTGGATAACTCACCTGTGACAATGTCTACGTGTGTGTGTGTGTGTGTCTGTGTGTGTGTCTGTGTGTGTGTCTGTGTGTGTGTCCCTGTTTCCCTCTCCATCTCTCTCTGGGACAGCCTGGTCTACATAACGAGAGGTCCTCTTGCCTCTGCCTTCTGAGTCTCCACTGTGTCCAGCCGACCTCACACTTACTATGTAGCCAAGGATGACCTTGAAATCCTGATCCTTCTGTCTCTACCTCCTAAATGCTGGGATTACATGCTTCTGCCACTGTGTCCAATTTTATGTGGTGCTGGGGACAGAAACCAGGGCTTGCTTGTGAGTGGTAGGCATCTAACCAACTGAGCTTACACACCTAGTTTGACACTTATTCTTAAAAAAAGATATCTGGGTCCCAAGAGACTCTGAGTAAGCTCATCACTGAGAAATTGCTAGAAAAGCCACCCTGCTTGCCACCAAATCCCTTGCTCCTGTATACACAGCCCTGGCTCAGGTCAAAGCCAGAGGTGACATCCATGATCTTCACTGGTCAGTATCCTGAGTGGATTCTCCTCCCCAGCTTCCGATTTCTTCCCAGGAAGATGGGGAACTTGCTTAGAGGAAGGAGTTAATGGGGTGTACGGAAAGGAGTCCTGTTGGAGCTCAGAAGGCCCAGGGAGGAGACAGCAGGGGCTGGGAATGTTCTAGAAATGGGCAGACAGAAGGTAGGCTAAGAGTAGGCAGACATACTCGACTCGCCACTGATGGATGCCTATGGGTGTGGCACAGATGATGAATGAGATCCGCTTTGGGAGTGGGAACCATACAGATGTGGAGTGCTCGAACATCTGGCTCCCCCAGCCCGTAAGGTGCTCAGCTGCTTTAGGAAATGGGGGTCTTGTTCCTAAACTTGGACTAGGTCTCCCAACTTAGGAGGCACCCGACCATCTGTCCCACCTTTTCTAGCCTGAGGTTAGGTTCTGAGGGTGAGGCCTGTCTGGTGGGCAGAACCAGACTAGAGATGACAACCCTGTTCTAGTCTCAACTGAAGGAGGAGTGTCTCTGTGCCCCAGGAACCTGGCACAGGGTAATGTTGGGCTGAGCTCTTGTGTCTGAGTCTCCCAGGGAGCCAGGAAGCTGAAGGTGGGCAGAGGTAGAAATTTGGGAAAGAGCCTACTGACAGAAACGCTGGCTCCAGGCGGAAACAGCACTTTTATGTGCCAGCTGGGCAGACATGTACATCTCTTCAAATTGAGCTTCCGATCTCCTCGGGTGCTATCTCCATCTGCACCTGAGCCTGGGGTGGCTGGCGTCCACACATGTGAACACGCATTCCCTCACGTGCCTTCACCTTCCCCTAGCTTCCAGTGGACACGTTGGTGGTTATAATACGCCTAGCTTTTCCTGGAGCTATGTCTGCCACGGAAGTACCTTCTAGAACCTCACTTCCTCCTGCCTGTGACCTTCACTGGCTTCCCTTACTTTGTCCCCCTACTCAGGCTGTGGCTCCTCCTTCTCTGGAGACAGCTCCACCCCTCCATCCCCAGCCCTACCTCCCCTACCACTCTGTCTTCCCAACAGGCCCCTGGAGCCCCATTCCTGAGATTTAATGACCCGCTGGTTTCTGCTTAGCGATGGTCCCCGGTCCCACGCTTACTTACTCTCCACGGCAAGAGTGATGGGCTGGCTGGTCTTGTTGTCTCCGTTCTTGTCATTAACTGCCTGCACGTAGTAGCGGCCAGCATCGGGAGCCACCGTCGACAGGATGACCAGGGTGTTCTCCAGCGTGATGGCTCTGAGGAGAGACAAAAGATTTCTTTTGGACAGGAGCCCAAAGGCCTTGGAGGTAGGCTGTTTGACTGCGGGATCTGAGATAGGTGGTTTGATTATACTCGTTCCCGTAGCTGGGAAGAGGAGAACAGCCTCCAAGAGGGCCTCCAGTTCTACCTCAGACATTTATTGCTAAAACCTAGTGGTAGTGTTTGCAGAGAATCTACCATGGTTGGGGTGCTGCCCGTCACGTCCCAACTCTCCCTTCAGACCCTCAAGCCGAGGCTTCCTCAGAGCAAACCCCAGGGTCAGGTTTGGAACACCTTTTCTGACTCTCTTGGAATTCTGTTCCTGACCATGTCATAGCCTTGATGGCTCTGTAAGGTCGCCTCTGCTGAGGTCGCCTCTGGCAGAAGTTCACAGAGTGAATGAGTGATTGACAATGAATGAGGCGTGATCAGGCCAGGATCAGTGCGCATGCGCCTCTGTGCGCATGCGCATGTCTATGTTCCATGTGCGTTTGTGCGTGCATGTGTCTAGTCCAGAGATCAACCTCAGTGGTCATCCTCATTTGTTGACACAGGATCGATCACTGGCCTAGAACTCACTGGTTCAGCTAGACTAGCTGGCCAGTGAACCCCAAGGATTAGCCTGTCTCCCCACTGCTGGGCTTACAAATATAACCAAGTCCCTACAAGTTCAGGTCCTTGTTTTTGCAAGGCAAACACTTTATTTTATTTTTTAAAAAGATTTATTTTATTTATGTGAGTATATTGTAGCTGTCTTCAGACACACCAGAAGAAGGCATCAGATCTCATTACAGCCATCATGTGGTTGCTGGGAATTGAACTCAGGACCTCTGGAAGAGCAGTCAGTGCTCTTAACCACTGAGCCATCTCTCCAGCCCCAGAGGGCACTTTATATATGAAGCCATCTCTCTAGCCCTGGGATTGGCTTCTTCCTAAACCAGTTTCAGCAGACTCAAAGGCCTTGGTAAGTCTGGCCTGGAGCAGACTTCTGAGGGTCATACCCCTCTGGTGTCTTCACTGGGGATTCGTTTCCCTTTCCCCTTGTGAAGTGGGCTGGTCCAGCGGGTAAAGTCAGATGGGCCATTTGTTCCAGGCTGTATCCCTTCCCCACCTCTCATCATAAGATCAGCAGGCAGGAAAACCGGGAACTGGGGTCCCCCTTAAATGGGTGTGAAGTGGTTTTGGAGTGCTGCCCACACCGGCTTTGCCCAGCCTCTCTTACCCATTCTCCTGATGACAAACAAAACCATTAGTTTGCCAAGTCTGTCTCAGGATTGTAATGTGATGTGCCCGAGACAGCTGTTAAACATCCTTAATGTTAGTTTAACAAGGACAAATCCAGTTGAATTCTCTTCAAATTTTCCCATTAGGTGAATGTTACAGAGTTTTAAACAGGCTCTCAGATAAACAGCCTCACTAATGTCTCTCTGGCCCAGCTCTCTTGTAGGCTGGCTATGCTTGTCCCCACCCCTTGCTTCTGAATTTGGGGCTTTTCAGGCTGAGGGTCCTTACACCATCAGGGAGAATTCTGGGCTGTAGGGTGGTGGCAAGCTCTCTGGCCCCCAATGCTTAGGGGCCCTAGTGATGACCTATTTCCCCATGGAGAGATCTTTTTATCTTTAGCAAATGAGGAGATGGGAATAAGATCATAGCCAAGCTAGAAAAGTGTGTGTGTGTGTTTATGTGGGTCCATGCACACGTGTTATGTGTGTAGGCCCAAAGACTACCTTGGGTGTCATTCATTAGGTGCTGTCCACCCACTTTGAGACAGGGTCCCTTACTGGTCTGGAACTCACCAAGTAGGCTAGGCTGACTGTGCAGGGGCTGAGAGCCCTAGGGATCTTCCTGTCTCTGCCTCCCTAGCACTGGGATTTTAAGTGGGAGCCCCCATGCTTTGCTAGGATGGTGTTCACATCTGTTTTCAGGCTTGCAAGACAAACACGTTACCAACCGATCCATCTCCCCAGCCCCATAGCCCTCACCTGGCACAGTCTGGTTTGGGATGGAGGGACTTTCAGGGCATTGGGGTCATGTAAATCCCTGTGCTAAAATACGTTAAAGACCAGATGTGGGATTGGGATGGTGGCCGCCTTCCCATCTGAGGGTCCCCTTGTCCTTAGATGTGGATTGTGGAGCAGGGGGCTATGTGTTGGGGGAAGGGTCTGGGCTGTGTAGGCTGGTGGGTCTGGGGGTTGAGCTCTGGTGTGAGGCTCTGGCCTCTGAGGACCATGTGCTTCCTCCCATGCCGTCTGGGCCCTGTCTTTTTGTCCTTGAAAAGGTGGAAGATAATATTTGCTAAGACTCCTCCCAGCCTCACGGTGTCTCTGCCACTTGGTCCCTGGCAGCAGAATAGCCCGCTCCCAGTCCTCACTCAGAACCCTCTCCTGGCACAGCCTGGCTTCAGGATGGAGGGACTCTCAGGACACTGGACTCATGTAGATCCAGCTCCCAGAGTCACTGTACTATGGAGGCAGGTCTCTCAGAGTTTCCAGGGGACCCACTGTCTGGTCACCCACCTGTTCTGTACCAGAGAAAGAGCTCACCCCAACTCTTCCTTCCTTGACCAGGAAGGCTCACAACTCCCATTCTCTGCGTTAGCCATTCTTTGTGTGTGTTATGACTGAGCGCCTTCTCTGTTGTCCCTCCCCACCCCACAACCCTGGGGGTTTGGATGCTCATTTTGTGAGCAGACTGTTAGAGGACGGGATTATTCATGAGCGAAGGGAGAGATTTTAGGAATGGGCTGAAGTTTTCCTAGAATGGGATTTATGCCCTCCCTTTTTTTGTCCTTATAGGGAGTTTTCTAGGTGTGCATGGTGTTGGATGCATGATGGGAGTGGCAGTTTTGCTAAGTTAATGACAGGCAGATGACGGAATAATGCACAGGGGACAGCGACTGATCATATGTGGTTCTCAACCAGCAGCAGTGACCTTGTTCCCAGAGGACCCTTCATGATTACTGGACGGTTGATTGCCACAGCTGTGGAGAGCACCACGGACAAGGTGTAGTAGAGGCCAGGACTTCTGCTCAGTGGACATCCTTCGAGACTCTGGATGCACGCCCCCAAGGGAAAAAGTCTGGCCGTGAATGTCCATGCGGGACGCTGAGTGCTGTGATTGTCCCGGGTGTTGCTTTGAATGTCTTCCCCAGTGTTATTGAGTTGAAATGAGTCTGAGTCCCATTATGAGGAAGAAAGAGGTGAGGGACTTCCAGACCTTGGCATTTAAAGGTGGGACTTGGGGGATGATTAGGGTTGGGTGAGGTCATTAGGGCATATCCCCATGATACACACACACACACACGCACACACGCACACGCACACGCACACGCACACGCACATGCACGCGCGCACGCACACACTTGATCCTATGCTATATTTCTAGTCATATGATACCCTGTACCACCTCATGACTCTAACAGCAAGGTCATGACCAGCTAAGGGTCCTTGAACTTGAACCCTCAGCGTCAGGAGCCAAAACACAGCTCCCTCCTTTAAAACTCAGACTGTAGGTTGGTGCAGTTAGCAATGGAAACTGGACTAAGACACTGTGTAAACCTGTTTGAAGGAGAGCCATAAGCTGCTTCTCCTGGAGGAGGCTGGGCAGCGAGGTACAGCTCTGCATCTTCCTCATCTGGAGGGGGTGGGCTGTGTGGACACCTCTAATCTCAGATCATGGGTGCTCCTGTATTATCTTTGAGTGGTTCCTTCCTTCTGTTGGTGCAGGGTGACTTTGGGGAGCAGTTTTGGTGACAGCAAAGCTCTAGTGACCCAGATTTCAAGTGACTGTGTCTAGAAGCCGTCTTCCTGTCCATTGCTCTGGGTCAGAACTTGCGTGGGTAAAATCTTTCCTTCTGTAGTTTCAGCTCACTGGAATATGGTCTGCTGGTTGCTGGGGCTGGCACTGCCTGTCCCAGTACTCTAGCCTAGAAGACATGAATCCTGAGAGCCTCAGGGTATGGGAAGCCATAGGGTGTGGGGTTCAAGTTCTGTAGTGGAATGGGAGATAGAGGCTTTTTTTTGTTTTTGATTTGTTTGTTTGTTTTTTGAGACAGGGTTTCTCTGTGTAGCCCTGGCTGTCCTGGAACTCACTCTGTAGGCCAGGCTGGCCTCAAACTCAGAAATCTGCCTGCCTCTGTCTCCCAAGTGTTGGGATTAAAGGCATGCGCCACCACTGCCCTGCGAGATAGAGGCTTTTTAACTTGTCACTTTGATCCTGTCAGGAGGGAAAGGAAGTCTTTCGGCTCGTCAGTCCTGTGCATGTTGACTGTCCCCTTTTTAGGCAACCATGGAAGGATGTGATGCCTCATTTCCTGTATGCCCACAGGATCCAGCCCGCTGTACCATATACACGTTCACACTGGGAGAAGCTGGGAAGAGGAACTCTGAGTGAGGCACCAATAGCAAGACCCATCAATAGCCCTCTTAGGAGGGGCTGGGTCCTATTCTTCTTCTGGTTTCCCATGACTGGCAGGTCCTTGCTCTGCCTCCAATGTGTTGCTCTCTCATTCAGCAGCCCCCTTTCTCGGCTCTGAGAGTACTAGATTCATAATTTAATTAAGGAGAGAGTAAGCCAACCTAGAGTGTGCCCTGAGCTCCCAGTGTGTGACTCTGTTAGGAATCATGTCCCCTTTCAACAGCGGGCTTGGGGCCAATCTGCATCCCTGCCCCGTGGTGAGAGACACTCTGTAGATGGCGGAGCCTTTCATGCTGTGCACAGCCTGCCAGTTGATGGCACTTATCAGATATTGAGCACCGGCACACAGACACAGGGGACTTGCTTCCAGGGAGCCTTCTTGCTCACCTATGAATATTAATTCACTGTAATTACCAAGATGAAACCACTCCAGTGCTTCACCACAAATTTGGTGGACGTGTTTATGAAAATGGGCGGGAGCAGTCACGAAGGGAGAGTATACATGCACACATACACACACACCACACACACACATGCACCTGTGCAGGCCAACGTTGTTCTAGCCTGTTGGCCTGAGAAGCAGGTAGGGTGGAGGATCAGAAAGTGACCCTTGGAGAGAGCCTGAAGCAAAGGATTCAGGATTCATCTACCTCTGCAAATGTAGTAAGTGGGTGCCAGCATGGCCTCTTTCACAGACAGGGCAGACAGTACTAGTCAAACCATGATGTTCTTTCCCATGTGTGTAGATGGAGCCTCAGAATTGTTTCTAGCTCTGAGCTCCAGGCAGCCATGCCAATTGATTAGCCTGCAGGATGCTGTCATGGACACACCTGGGGTCCAAGAGCTACACTCAGAAATGGAGTTAGAATGGGACATGTCCCAATACCTGTGTGGCAGAACATCTCCCTTCCACAGTGTGATGTTAATGTCTGCACGTTGGGTGATCCATTCAACTGGCCTTATTGAGTTTTAGGCCTAAGAGGCGCACACTGTGACTCATTGGGTAGCTGTCCACCTGTCCACCTGTCCACCTGCAGACACTCTGGCCTTTACCTTGCTGGGTACCCATGCTTCGTGCTGTCTGCTTGCTAGCTGTTTATGAAGAAACTGATGGCCTAGTGGTGTGGACACAGAGATCCTTCTGTCTGAGTTCTGCATGTCATGGTTTCTGCCATTGGGAGGTGAGTGGGGGTTTGATGTGTATGTCTTTCCTTTCTTTTTCTTCTGAAATATCCAGAGAATATGATGGGGCTGTCCAGCTAGAGGATGAGGCCCGTGGAACATGGCTGAATGACCTGCCACTAAGCAAAAGGCCATCCCAGGACAGTCAATAAGAGACAATCCCAGACAAATGCGCCCAACCATGAGGAGTGCCTTGCCAGGGCACCAACCTAAACCACCAATCTTCACACTCCTAAGAAAACACAGCAAATGTTCCTTAACAATCTATTGAGATGTTTGTTACACAACTACGTTGTGGCTGTAGATGGCTGATACATATTGAGGATGGTTTTCTTTTCTTCGGCTTCTTTGTGTCTCACTGTGTAGCCCTGGCTATCCTGGAACTCACTCTGTAGACCAAGCTGGCCTCCAATTCAGGGATCTGCCTGCCTCAACATTCCAAGTGCTGGGATTAAAGGCGTGTACCACGAAGCCCAGCTCTGAGGATGGTTTTCAGTTCTGGCTGCACAGTGGAATCAAACAGGGAACTTTAAAAAATTCTGACAGCTAAAGAGCATCCCATTTAAATGGAACCAGAGTGCCTAAGGCAAGAACCTGAGGATTGGTTCATCTCAAAGCTCCCACGGCGGGGGTGGGGGGTGGGGGGTGGTGCAGATTGAGAATGGCTGCGTCAGGATCAGCTCTACGAAACACAGTGGCTTACTTGTGTCTGTGTGCTTGCCTGCACATATGTTTCACAGAAGGCACGGATTATCTCGACTCGGCAGCTCGGAGGGATGTGGAGAAGTAGTTAAACCTCAGGTTTATAGCTGCTATGGGATAAAGTCAGCTGCCTCATAGGGCTGTTGTGAGGGTTGAACACTGAGCAATGAAGTTGGGACAGGAAAGAGATCAAGACAGAGAGCCTCTTTCCTCACAGGCTGCAGCAGGGGACACACGTGCGTGTGCGTGTGCGTGTGCGTGTGCGTGCATAGCAGTCCTAAGAACTAAACTCCATCCTCTGCTGTTGCTATATTACTATACTATCATTGTGCTTCTCAAAGGCAAACCTGTCCACACCTCCTTCCGCTCCCTACAGACTAGGGTGGAGGGGCCCGGGGAACTCAGTGTAGTCTGCACAGCTTGCGAGTTGTAGCCAGGCGGGGCAGGTTGGGAGAAGATAACCTTTCTTCAGTGAAGGGAGCAGTTGAGAGGAAAGCCTGGGCTAGCTCTGGACAGTGGGCAGCTCAGGGGAAAGCATGGTATCTGCTGAGACCTGCTGGGGTTGGGGTTGGGTGAAAGGTATTGGCTTCATTGCTAAGCCTGCAGTTGAGGCCAGGGGAAGACAGAAGGGTCTTTGTGCGTGCTGAAAGGGTTGTGTGTGTCTACTCCAGCTTTCCCTGGCCACAGCAACTCCTTGCAGTCCAAACACACACAGAGCAAGCCTGGTCATACCCGCCAAACATAAACACCTGCACACACCCACCTCTGTCATGGCCCAAGTCCTGGGCCTGTTACTATGGCAACAGTGCCTTTGCATGGGCATGTTGGAGTGTCTTAAATCCTCTGGGAGCAGACATATTCTCAGGTTGAGTGTGGAGGCAACACCCTGGTTCTTGCACGCATATTCCAAGAAAACCCCTCATAAACCAACCTTCTCTCACCACCCAGGGGAGTGCCCAGCTGGCTGTGTTACAGAATCGCTGGAATTGCAGGGAAGTTTCTCTAGGAGGGGCCTGCCTTTGCATTTGGAGACTCCATCTGGCCCCAGACCCTGTTCCCCAGTCTAGCCAGAGCAGGGCCTTCCTTACATGCGGCTGCTGGGTGGGATCTTGCGTCCGTCACGGAACCAGGTCACCTGTGGCCGGGGAAAGCTGGAAATGCGAGGTGCTCTGATGACAGCAGCTTCTCCGTGGGACACACTCTGGTGCTTCTCACCTTCCTCAAAGCTCCCCATGTCTGTAGGGAAGGGAGGTGCAGAGGTCAGAAGGACAATCCAGTCTCAGGGACTGGCCGGCAGAGAAAGACTGTTGTCAAGAGAATGACCATGAAGAAAGACCACCTCTCTTGAAGTGTCCCACATCCCGTCAGGTGTATCCAACCTGTGTCCTCCCTTGGCTGCATGCATCCCAGGATAGCTACGAATATAGTCTGACATCATAGATGATACAGTCTCTCACAGGACATGGCACTGAACATTTCTACTAGCAGTCTGTGTGATGCGCCCTGGTTTGACATTTAGCATTTGTGTAATTTGGACCCGTGTATCCTTGACTCAATTGATTTAGCCAACAGCCATGAGAGGGTTATCATTATTTCACACATTTTACAATGGGAAAAACCTGCTCAGACTGGCTTAGCTAAGTTAATTAACCCGTCTAAGGTCATACCGCTAGCAAGGAACAGAGACAGGATTTGAACTCAGACCCTGAGCTTTGGAATTAGGTTGCCTTTTCCCCTTCCCTGCCCAGCGGGACTAATTCAGTACAGCAGGGGATTAGGCTGTGGCATCTTGGGACCTGACCTCTGTGCCCTTAGTCAGAGGGAAGGGCGCACATCAACACGTGCTTCTCTGAACATAAACACTCCACTGTTCTTTTTAAAGCCTGCCCAGTCCTCAGCAGATAAGTGGAGACATTGCTCCTGGCCCTGCTCCTCTGTGAGCCAGGAGGAAAACAGAGGGGTGTGGCTTCTGGTTCCACACCTGCCTGCCTGCTCGCCCCCAGGCTGGAGTGAAGGGACCGGCTCCCATAGCAGCGTCTTTGAGTGAAATATGGGAGGGAGTAACTGGCTTCCTTCACCTTGACAATGAATGTGTATCATTGAGACTCCAAGTGCGATGCATGAGGTACCCTGGATACTCTGAGACACACAGAGGGAGGTCCTGAACCTGTCTGATCAGTGATGAACACCCATGCTCACCTGGGACAACACTGCTTGGCTGTGTATCGGGAGTTCCAGAGTTATAAAATGCTGTTGGGATCTCTATCTCCAGAGCTTCCCGTTTCTTTGGTATGGCGTGTGGATGAGGATATCCCAGTTAGTCCCCGCACCAGCCTCTAATCTATTACTGTGACATGTTTAGACATAGGCTTGTCATACCAGCAGGCCTATATGTACTGGGAGTTCAGACTATGGCTTCTAGAGCCTTAGTTTCTCCTTCACCTAGGGACACAAAGACACATGTCCTACTGAAAAAGAAACTGTCAACTCCTAACACCATGGCCTCTTCTTCCCGTCCTTGATCAATCTGGTCCTCCGAGTGGCTCAGGGTCTTCTTTAGCACCTCTTGTTTTTCCAGAGGTGAAGCTGGAGTTGGTTGGATTTCAGCCCCAGTATTTCTTTTTGGTGTCTCAGGCACGAGCCAAGTTTGAGGACTGGCATATTGGCTGAAGGCAGCTCTGGGTTCTTCTACCCCGTCACAGGCACAGGGGACTTGGTGAGTCACCAGGATACTCCCTACTGCCCACTTTCCCAGGTCACAGAAGACCCTGTAGAACATGCCTGGGCCTCTAGGTCCTGATTCCGTTGTTTGCAGATGCTGCAGCACTCCTAGATGCAAGGCTGTTGACAGTCACGCTCTCCAGCCTGGACTTGACCTTCTTAAACACCCTGACCCAGTGGTGGCTCATCTCTCTGTGACTTCTCTGTGAACAACTTCCATGTTTCCAGCTCCAGCTCTTCCCTGGGCTCCAAGGCACCATCCCCAACAGTCTGCTGGGGGTGAGTTGGGGTGAATGGTGGTGGAGGGCGGGTAGGGAGATCTTGCTACCTGCTCAACAAGCCTTACTTTTCGTGCTGTTTATTGTCCATCCCTTTGTCCCAATCACTTGAGCTCAAATCTTTGGAGTTATTATTGGTTTCTTCCTTGGTTCCCACAAACTCCTCGGTGCCTTCCTTTGGGTGCTGTTTCATGGACCAAGCCCTCCCCCTCCCCGATGTTACTGATTCCCAGTCTACATCACCCAACCCCCACCCCATACACTGCCCTGGCGCGAGCTTGTGTGCGTGCGTGTGAGTGTGTGCACATGTGCATGTGCTCGTGTGTGTATGTGTGTGTTTCACTTAAAGCAGCCTTGCTTGCTTTGATGCCTGTATCTCGATGCCTTGAGTGACATACGCCCTACTTCCCACAGCTAGGCTTTGCTTTTGCTAGGTACCTGCCTAGAAGCCACGGGATTAGCTCTCCAACATCCTGCGTAATGGAACCAACTTAGTGTTTTAAAAGAAAAGAGCTGCTGACAGCTCCTTGTCTTAACTCTAGCAGGCACCGTGTATATATGTTTGGAGACTTCAATGGGGTCAAGTTCAAATCCTAGCCCCATGTGGCCTCAGGGCTTTGACCCCTTGACCTTGCGGAACTGTTTTTTCACTCTCCCGTAAAAGCGAAACACAAGGGTACCTTCCTCACGAGCTGTACTGAGGAAGTGAGACAGTGTGTATATGCCAGATTGCATCTTCCCAAAGGTGCCTGAATCAATATTTATCCCCCTTCCCACATGCTCCTGTTATAGTGTGACTCATACTTCTCCCACGTATCCCTTGAGTCTTGAGTGCTTGAGACTACGCTATCAATAGAACATGCTGGAAGCAACGCGCTACGGTTTTAAAGGTGAAGTTATTCAAAGGAGATGCCATCTACCTGGTTCTACTTGGCGGACATCCGCCCTGAGAACCCAGCCACCACGTCGTGAGGAAGCTCAACTGAGTGCATCATCGGATCACCTTGCTGGAGGAAAATGGAGGCTCCCAGGTGGTTGCGACCACCACTGGATTCCTAGACGAAACCTGTGAATTCACCTGCAGTCTTTGTGTCTATCACGGAGATCTCAGTTGTCACCAAGCAGGACAGGCTTTGTCTTGTCCTCATTGTGCCCTGTCCAGACTCCAGACTCACAGAGCGCATGAGCATTAAAATATTGCTCTGCACTGTGGTGTCTTGGGGTCATTTGTTATGCCGCCACAGAGACGGGAAGAGTGTATAAAACTGCCAAATAAGTATATCTAATATTTTCGGCATTAAAATGCTGGAATCCTGTATATTTTTCATGATTTAGTGTAAACATTACCTCCTCAACAAAGATCATCCCAAATCAGCCAAACAGAATGGGAACCCAGCATTTACCCTATGCCGAGAGCTTCTTTCCGGACAGACTGTGTATGCATTATCTCATTTGAGTCTCCGATAATGTGACAGGCTAGATTTTAATAAATACGAGTTTTTAGTTGTTTATTAATTTCTATTACTTGGCTCTATCTATAAAAATATCACATCAATAAATCATGCTGATTTCAGTCCTTATAATAATTTTTCTCTATTTTTTTTTTTAAAAAAACAACTTTTCACAGAACTCAGAAGATAGATTTAAACAATTTAGAGCAATTTCATGATAATGGTGTTTCCTTCTCTCCACTCTCTCTTGTTTTATTGGCTCCATTTGGTCTTCGAGGAAATGAAGGTTCATGGAGATGAAGCGGCTGATCCGACATTAAGCAGTTAGGGTCTAGCACAGTGCCACTTCCCTCTGCACACTGCCCCCTGCCTCGACTTTGATCAGCATTCTTCACAGAAACCTGCGCTCTTTCCTCCTCCTCCTAGGTGATTGACATGGACAGATCGACATCTGGAGATTGTTGAATTCAGAAGCAATTGCCTACCAAATGTCTAGGTCCTTGCCTTGCCTAGAACCACCAGCTCCTAATGGAGCCCTACTGTGTGTCAGGCAGGCTCTGTGGAGGTGCTGATGAAAGTAAGAGCTTGTAATGTTCTTACAGGGAACTGGAATGCAGCTCCCAGCATCCAGATGTTGACATACAACAATCTGTAACTCCAGTTCCGGGGCATCTTAGGCTCTCTCCTAGTCTCATTGAGTGTCTGCATGTACATGGCATCATAGATTCACATGGGCACACACACACACTCATACAATTAAAAAAACATTTTAAAGAGAAGAAAGACCTGGTTATTGAGCTTACAATCTGACTCAGCAGACAAGTCCACAATTACGTGTTCAGTGGCATCTGCGACAACTGCTGGGAAGGAAAGGTCAGAGTTCTCTGAGAAGTGCTAGCAAAACCTTTCTCAGGCTGGTGTGTGTCTGTGTGTGTGTGTGTGTGTGGCATCTTTTAAACTGAGACATAAATAAGGGGCACGTATGTATGTGTGTGCATTGTATAGTGTGTATATGTGCATGCATGTATGTATGTGTGTGCGCACCTGTATATGTATGTGCACATGTGTATGTTATGTGTGCACGTGTATATGTGCATGCATGCATGTATGTGTGTACAAGTGTGTGCACATGTGTGATGTGTATGCTGTGTGTGTGTATGTGTGATGTGTGTGTATGTGTGTGCTGAAAGGAAAAAAGTGATAAGGTAGGACAGAAGGAGAGGCGCCAAGCAAAAGGTCAGCAGGGCAAGGTTCCTGCATGGATGAGAGGTGGAGAGGGTTGCATGGGTGAATGGGTGGATGGAGGACCAGATCGATGGTGGAGTGGGTAGATGAAAAGACAGAAAGGGATGGAGGGATGGATTACTGAATTATATATATGTTTATGTTTCCATGTACATATGCTGTTTGTATGTATGAAAGGATGATTTGTATGTGGGTATGTGTGGCTGTTTTATGTATAGGTGGATGGTTGTATATATGGAGGAATATATACACACAGACTCTCTCACACACACATATATAGTGTGTATGATAGGCTGGATACTTGGATATGTTTTCACATGTGTGTGGATGGTTGTAGGTAGGTACACATACATGTTTACAGTAGGATGGATGGAGGAAGGATGGGCTTGGCTAGCTTTGGTTTCTATTTACACAGACCCCATCTCCACCCTCTACTGTACAGAGTCCCCACCTCACTGTGACTCCCAGGGCCCAGGCCTCCATCACAGGAGCTCTAGGATCTGCTTAGAGAGCCCTGGCCTGAGCACGCAGCACCCACCATATTCGTTTGCTCTTTTCAGCCCTGGGCACACAGCTGGGAGGTGCTGAACTGATCAAGGGGAGGCCGCTAAGGAGGCCAGCCTGCCAGTGCAGGAGCTGGGCTGAGGGAGGGAGGACAGGCTGGGGCCAGGTCCCCTGAGGACTTTCCTCACTCTCTTTGCTAACTCTCTAAATGCTGCTAATCCATCTACCAGCCTGGCCCAGGCCCACCGTGTTATGCCCTACAGAGCCTATTCGGTCTTCCAGATAATCTCCCCCAGAGCAGAGGACTGTGGCCCGAGGCACAGCTGGATGTGGCCTGGAGCTCACTCTTGATGTCTTTGTTAGAGCTTAAAAGGTAAGAACTCTACTACAGAGTACATCTCTGCACATACTTACCTTTAAATCGTGAGATGGATCATGCAGACGAAAACGAGTATAATTATATGTATAGTTTGAAGGAAATAGTCAACACCCCTGTCTGTACCACAGCATCCAGCACAAAAGTCATAGCCCTGTTGGTACTCGGTTCCCCTCCCCTCACTGCCTCCCCATCCTGTTCTGCCCTCTTTAGGGCTAACCTCTCTTTGGAATAATGGGCCACCTACCTATACGTCTTCACAAATAGTGTTACTTGGCTTTTTATGGCTAATTCAACCTAATCTTAAACAGTCACTCCTGTGATTACTCTGTAGCTTCTTGTGGTTTTCTTGGGGGGGGGATGATGATGTGATTTTGTGTCCCCCACTCTGAAGCCCTGGTTGTGAGTTCAATCATCTTTATAGCTGCCTGGGATTCCCTGGATCACATGACACTGACGTTGCGCACAGTCCCTCATGGCCCTCCCAGGACACAGGCTCTGGGGAGACATCTAAGACCTCATTCCAAAGATGCAACTGGAAGGCTGTGCCACTCACCACTTTCCAAAAGCTCACCAATTTACCAGTTACATAGTCGTATTCGCTTCACCCTTGGTCTGGCTGGACTCTGGATTTTGACAGTTGGGTGCACATGGCCAAGTATCTCCCTGTGGTTTTTTGCATTTATTATGAAAACAATACCCCTCTCTCTACCAGATCCTAGCTCAGCCCTGCCACAACCATCAGTGACTTCCAGTTCATTCTGAACACAGTTTAGCGTGCCATAGTCTATCCCAAAGGTCCCTCATCCCCACTGCTTCTTCTGATGCTCTCTCACTCTCCTCCTTCCACCCCAGCCTCAGACCCTCGAGTATACCACAGGGCCTTTGCTCTTGCTGTTCCCTGGCTTGGGGTGTTCTTCCCTTCTATGTGACACACCCATCTTCCTAGTTCCATATCCTTCCTGACCATTCTCCTTTACTGCCCTTCCCCAATTCCTCTCACATGGCTCCATTTTTCTTGTACTACATTGCGTTTATTCATGGGCCATATATAATTATAATATGGCATGATATAATGTCATACACTATGATACAATGTTGTAAACTATGATACAATGCTATTTTATATAAGATGATACAGTGTCATATTATATACGATGATATAATGTTATATACTATGATAGTGGTATACACTGTGATACAATGTTATTTTATATAGGAAGATACAGTGTTACATTATATACTATGATACAATGTTATATTAACAGACTTATTAGCCTTCCTGTAGAATAGGATCTTGCTTGTGTTTCATCACAACCTAGACCAGTGCTGGAGATGCTATGGGATACTCTATAGCAGTTGCAGTTATTCATGTTTTAATTTTTCTCCAGGCAGGATATTGGCATGTTTCTGATGTTGGCCGATAACCCACTGGCATCCCTCTGATCCCAAGTCCTGAACACAGGGATGGTAGGCATGTACCACTACACCTGGCTCACTACAGCCATTAGTAATGGGTGCTCATGACAAACCTGTCACATTGCCCCAAGTAGCTGCACACATCCTGCTATCACATCCTTTATCCACATTCGTGCAGCAGATGGGAAATGAGGAAAAGCAGGCCAGTCAGAGGCTTTTCAGTGCCGCCCCAGTCCTCGTGACTAAAGAGGGATCTTGAACCCCACTTTGAATGAGTAGTTGGCAGTACCTAATAACAAGGGAAGTGGATATGGCACCAGACACAAGCAGGCCCTTGCCGTGCCCTTGTACTGTTGAGCTTGGCATTGTGGGATGGGATGAGGTGGGATGGCAAGTTCCATTGTGTTGGTGTGCTCTAGGGAAGGGGAAGAGGGCAGATGAGGGCAACAGAGAGGCCCTGACTGTGGTACAAGCTCATGGGAGTCCTGAGTCTGAAGAGCTTTCCAATCTCTTGGCCATTCATTCTACCTGCTCAATGGCAGGAATTTATGGCGACTTTAAAACTACAAAGAAGAGACTCTGAGTGGGGCTGGGAGGGGGGGCTGGGTCATGGAGATGTTTTATTGACTTCCCCTAATTGCTGTAATTAAAAACACGTAAAGAATCTTTTTTTTTTTTTTTAAAAAAAACGACTTTGCCATTATCATTAGTTGTTAGACAGCTGCCTTATTAATTTCTCATTAGAACACAAGTCATAAGCCCTCTCTAGAGAGGGGCAGGAACTAGGGTGGGGCCTGTCAGGTCCAGGGTCCCTAGAAAAGCCACTGGGAGCAAGCTGCCCCGAGGTCACAGGACCCAGGTTCTCTCCTGTCCCTGCTGCCCCCAGGGGAGCACAGCAGACAAAGGAGGGATGAGGGAGGGATTGGGAAAAATACCAGGTCCCAGTGCAAGATGACACAGAGAGACAGACAGACAGACAGACAGACAGATGGAGAAAGGTGGGAGAGCATGTTGTCTCCCACAGTTAGATGAAAGAGCAGGCCAGGTCAGATCTACATGTCTCTCCAGATGCATGCACACAGATACCTATGAGCACAGGCTACATATAGACACACCTGTGCACACATTTACATACCTGCATAAACATGTACGCTGCTGGATTGAGGCAGGCTGCCCCATATGTATTCAAGACACATGTATATGTGCACATGCTAGCATTTAGACATATCCATCCTCCTTACATGCAGGAACCAATAGGCAGACCAGCCTTTATGAATACATTTGAACATGTGCATACACTCATGTGCACATGGGCATGCACACTGGGAATCCAGTCTCACTCTGGGGGCTTCCCTGCTCCATCTGCCCACAGGACTCTGGGACATGATGAGAAGTTAGTGTGTCCAGCTCATAGTTCATGGGCTGCATGTGCCCTAAGATAGCTACGAATGTGGCCAACATAAAATCAGAATCATATTTCAAACATGAGATATGTGTGTCTGTGTGTGTGTGTGTGTCTGTGCTTCTTTTATAATTTGAATGCATGGTTTTTGAGAGTGAATTTTGGAAATTACATTATGTCAAAATGTTACAAGGTGGGCATGCCTGCTGCTAAAGGAAGATGCCCTGTGGCCTCCTCCAGCCAGTGTTGTCGGCTTCCTGAAATCCAGTGTTGAGATTCAGGCTTTGCTTTGAGGGCATGAATAGAGTTGCCTTTAATGCTGGTTTATGACTGGCCTGGCCTCCACTTTTGGTTGGAGCTGTTTTCTTTAATTGTCACACACACTCTTTGACAGCACTATGAGGTTTCTGAGCGCTTTCTACCCTTGACTTCTCTCCCCACAGTGGCCCCTCCCTGCTATTTACACCCCTTTACGTTTCAGAGCAAGACAACTTTTCTTGTGAAACTTCAGTACTCATGAAGCTTCCCCAGACTTCTCTGGCCACCAGTGTGTCACTGGCCAGCTTAAAAGAGCCCTCAATGTGTCTCCTTTGCAGCAAGAAGCAGGTCCTTCAGGAAGCATCAAGTCTGGTGAAGGGATTCGGAATGCTTGTGGGGTGGTAGTGATTCCTGGGGGACCTAGAGTTCTCACACTGTTCTCTCCCTTACCTGAGGAAACCTCTCTGGGCTTTGGTGGCACCAGGGAGAAGGGGTTAACTACTGAAGGTTAAGTGAGGACCCTCTGCCCCCCTTGGTACTTCTGGGAGACCCAGTACATCATTCCCTGACCCTGCAATAGGGTGAGGCATCTTGAGACATCTCTCAGTACCTCTTGAAGATCTTGGTAACACTATGTTACCATTGCTCCAAAGGAGCAATCTGGAGGACACTAAGTCAAGGTTACCACTGTTCCCACGGAATGAGCTACAGAATGATGGAGTCAGGTCATGGTTTTCTGAAACAAAGTGTCAAAGACTGCTTGACTCTCCAGCCTTGTCATAGAGAAATGCTGTGTGACATCATAGAGCTCCCATGCCCTCTCAGGGCCTTGCTTCTACCAGATGTAACAAGAAAGGATTGGCCTGGCCGTGCAGGAAGAGCTAGCAGGGGTAGAAAGCAGAAGTATTGTCCCAGTCCCCCACTGTACTTACAGGCCACCTGGACCTCAGTCTGCCGCTGTAGCAGGGCCCCCATCCGGTTCCGCACGATGCAGCGGTAGAAGCCAGCATGGGTGCGGTCCAGGCTGGTAATCATGTACCTGGGTGACAGATGAGAGAGAGCCAATTAAGTAAAGTAGGTGGTTTCAGAGGTGCGGAGGTCAACTTTGGCTCAGGGTCAAAGGTCATGGGGTCGCCTTATTCTGAATATGGGATTCCAGCGAGGTTCTTATCAATAGGTTGTGGTCCATCCACAAGCCACAGGACTTTGCTCAGTTGTGTAGGATTCCGTTTAAAGTCTTTGATTCTACCCAGGGCCATGCTTCCTAGGCAACAGCCACGCCTTCCTGCCAACAGCCATGCTTGCCTGCCCACGGCCACACCTCCCCGCCCATGGCCACGCCTCCCTACCCATTGCCCCACCTCCTAGGCTTCTCTGTTAGAGGCCGTTGTCCCCTCTTGCTTATGACTCATTGAGAAGGACAGGGACATTTGGTTTTTGGCCAGGTACAGAGCTGTGTTGTAAGTATTAATCAGAAGAGACAGGCGAGAGAGGCAGGGAAATTTACACATCTCTCCAAGTGTTCTCTCTCAGCTCTTCCCTCACGATACATACAGCGCTGCACAGTGGAGCTGTGGACGGAGCCTCCTGAGAGAGCGGGCTTGGCTCTCACCCATGTGCCTGACTCAATGCCAAACCCTCAGTCAGCGCATCAGGTACTCGTCGCCCTCAGAACCACAGAGCTGGCACTGGTGGGCAGGTGGCCGGAGAGCAGGTGTATGGCAACCTTGCTTCACAGAGAGGCAGGACGGATGCAGGTCAGTGCAGCGGCTCCTAACAGTGAGGCGCTAGGCACGTGGCGACTTTCCTGTGTGGATGGGAATGGCGGTCCTGGGAGATTTCCTTCTGTACTGTTAGGCAATGGTCCATCAGAGTCCTCCAAAGAAAGAGGAGCTGGGATCATTGAAATCTTTTGCCAGTTCTCAGGGTCCTTGAGTTTGTCCAGCTACCTTGGTGGACAATTTCAAAACCATCTATTTCCAGGGTATGCCAAGTCTGGGATGCAGTCGCTCACTCATAGGAGCTGCCAGTTTTATAAGACATGGTCTGGATTCACCATCACCACCACCACCGTCACTGCCATCACCACCACCACCACCATCACCACCACCATCATCACCACCACCACCACCACCATCATCACCATCATCACTACATCCTCACTGTCACCACAGTCATTGTCACCTCTGCCACCACCACCATCATTGCTATCACCATCACCATAACCACCATCACCACCGTGATTATTACCATCGCTGTCACTTCTCCACACCACCATTATCATCACTACTTCATCATAACTGTCACTGTCGTCAACACATCACCACCGTTACCATCATTATTAGGATAATTACCATTGCCATCATAATCACCGTTAACCGTCATCGCCACGATCACCGTCACAGTCATAATAAAGATTTTCACCGCTACTGGCACCATTATACCTCTGCCATCTCTACCCTCATCATCGCCGTCACCACCATCAGTGCCAACACCTCAACCACAACCACCACTGCCGTAATCATTCCTCCATCATTATCATTTTGCTACCTCGTTAGCGTCATGATCACCATTCTGTCATCATCCTCATCCTCCCGTTGCTAACACCACCGTTACTATTATTACCAACATCATCACCGTTGTGACGTCATCACCATCATCACCACTACCCCCACCATGATGGTCGTCATCTCTGTCGACATCGTCATGATTACCATCTTCTCCTCCCTGGACACCACACTGTCACCGTCATCCTCATCTTCCCAATGATGGCGTCATCCGGGGCTTTCCCCGTCTCACCTAGCAGTTCCCGACTCTTGGGTACCATGGACGAGTAGCACTTTAAAGATGTGGATCTACACAAGACTGTCAACTTTTTAACTTTGCCAACCAACCAAGGAGAAAACGGAATCAAGCAGGAAACTTTATAAAACAGAAAATAATACTATTATCAAGTGCTGAAGAGAGAAAAATAAATACAAAGGCCTAGCACCTTCTCCTGGTGAGTCCCAGGACCTGTGTCCAGTCTCCAGCACCCAGGTAAAGGCAGAAGGAGAGGACTCTGCGCTCTCACATGTATGTCTATGCAGATGTGCGCTCTACACATGACCTGCACACAATGATAATAAATAAAAGGGAAAGAGTGGAATCTGATACTGTTCCAAAAGACACCAGGGGAAGGAAAATGATGAGAAATGGCTGAGAAATTCACGAAAAGTTCCTTGGCTTCTAAGATAATCAAATCAGAGCAAGGCCCATTTGCATGCCAGAATTGCCAAAATACAGGAATGAAGGGTAGCAGGAGGGGAGGGAGAGGGGAGGGAAGAAGAGGAGAGGGAGGGGGGAAAGGAAGAAGGAGAGGGTAGGGAGGAGGAGGAGGGAGAGAGGGAAGAAAGGAGGGGGAGAGGGGAAGAGGAAGAGGAAGGGGAAAGAGAACACGTCTGTAGGTTTGTTGGTGGCACTGGGAATTGGTCCATTCTTTGGGGCAAAAATCTACAGCAATTAAAACATGTAGATTCTTTGACAAGAACTTGCACTCCCTGGAGGTGGCTCTTTAGTTACACTCGCAACAGTGAGCCAGAAAAAAAAAATGTATAAGGATGTTCGCTGTGTCACTGCTTGCGGTAGCAGAGACAAACAAAGAGAAATAGGAAGCAACAGACATGTCCATCAAACCTGAATTAGATCAATAAATGATGCTGGGTTTCAGAGTGAGAGAACACCTGTGTGGGATGAAATAGAAAAGTCTCCAAGACACCCAGCGCGAGGAAAGGAAATCAAAGCAGGGAGACAGGAGAGTTACATGAATCAAAATACAAGTACAAGGTTGTGTGTGGGGCTAACAACCTCCGAGCTGACAGTAGGAGCAAGGATACTATGTATTCCTGAGTGTTGCTGTTTGGTGGAATGTTATCAGATCTTTAATGGCTAGATTATGCAAACTGACCCAATAAAAACAACCCAGACTGGTCCCCCATTCCCAAGTTAAAAAAATAATGCATGTTAGGACATTATTTGGTATTATATCATTTGAGTAAGTCGAAACAGCACACACACACACACACACACACACACATATATATATATATACACACACACACACAAATATGTGTATATATACATATATATTTGCATGTGTAGGTGTATACTAATACTCATTTGTATGTGCATGTGTGATTGCCTGTGAGCACACACACACACACACACACACACACACACACAGGTGCACAGATATTTTGGAGATGGTATATTGTATTATTTCTCTTTTGGGAGAAGAGTCCAGGGCTGAAATTGGGGGAGGGACATGTGTGCTTCTTTGATTGTATGTCTTTCTATGCCACTGGAATCATCTTTATCATGTACACAAGTCCCTTTTATTTTACAGATAAAATTTAAAAAGTGCTACTTTGTGCATAGAATTTAAGTTCACATTACAAAAAAGGCACCAGGGACTCGTTCAAGCTGAATTTGTTTGCCAATGTCAGTGATGTGTGGCGAAATTTAAACTTTAAGGAAACCCAGTGTCTGCCGAAGACTGAAGTTCACGTTCTCTTCAGTCAGACAGCCCCAGGCTCCACCTGGAGTCATGAGGAAGGACACAGGCTGTTGTTGTGTTCTCTGACCTTTGGGGGATGCCCTTCTGTTTCCTGTAGTGGAGGGTAGGTGCTCTCCCTGGCCCAGCAGTGCGGGTATAGCTCTGTCTCAGGCACTCCTGCTGCCTTCCTCTCGCTGACTGCCTGTACGCTACTGCTCCAGCCTGGGAGACCTATTTCAGGCTTGGAGGGACCATTATTTAAAGTAACACTTCTACTCATTGCCTCTCTACCAGGGGAGCCCTATTCACAGCAGCAGAAAGCAGCTCATGTCACCCCTGCCTGGGATGGGAGGGAGCCGGTTAGTCAGTGTCTTGGCTTGCAAACTCAGCACGCACTATAAGCAGCCCCAGTAATGACAATAACCATATTTGTTATTGTCATCATGTCCCCTGCTATGGCTTCCAGGACACACACACACACACACACACACACACACACACACACACACACAGAGCTCCATCCACCGGTGGCCACTTGGCCAGCAAGGAACCAGAAGAGCCAGTCAAGACCATTAGGAGCAATCATGATTGAAATGTCATGAATGAACAGCTCCCATTGGCCCCTGCCACATCAAGAGAAAATGTGGTGAGGGAGAACAGTGCCAGGACTCTCCTGAAGTGGAGATGCAGGCTAGACTTTCACTTCTGTTCATTTGGATGAGCTACGGAAGCTTTCACTCCTCAGTCTCCCTATCTATAAAATGGGCCCGAAGGTGGCCATCATAGATGTGAACACCTCCAGGTACAGGACAGCTTCCACATGAAAGCCTGTTGAATCAGAGAGCAAATGTAAGGGTCACCGGTAGAAGGTTCTGGATGGACATGGGAGACTCAGAAGGGAGGACCAAGAATAATTGATCTTTGTTCTAAGAGCCAGGAGAGCTCAGACTTCCTTGCCTGGCTTCTAAACCCTTAGCCTAGTCACTTTCCTTTGATTCTCAAGGAAGCGGAGCCTGAGCCTGGCTCTGCACGCATGGATCCACCCAGCTCCAGTCTCTTCAAAGGTTCGCTTATTTTATTATAAGAGTTTTCCCACATGAATCAAAACTCAAAGAACGAAAGAGAAAACATATAGTAGGTGGTGCCACGCTTCTTATACCTCAGCTGCCAGTCACTGATGACCTGTAATCCACATGTGGAGAAGCTCACAGCTAGGAGCTTCTCAAACATGTGTTTGAAACTTCTATACGCATACGAGAGCAAATTCAAACGTCTGCTCCCTCTCTTTATAATCAGGCAAACTGGGCCCCTGCCCTGTGGCTGTTTAGAGGTCCTCTCACCGCCCATCCAGAGCTGCCTTGGGCTTTGTCACGGCTGAGGACTGTAGGTACTTTTCTGGATAGAGAGGGCTTTGCTTTTTCTCAGTTAGCTGACCCATAGGAACTGAGGGGCAGAAGGATGAAGGGAAGAGGTTTGGGGTTGGGCAGAAAGCCACGTCAAGAATTCACTGCTCTCCTGATGTTTGTAAGGCTGCGTCCCTGATTTTAACCCAGGTGAGACCCAGCCCCTTAGTGTAGTCTTCCTAGATGAAGAGGAGGGTTGGAAGAGAATGACCAGCATAGCCATAGGGGGGAGGGACCTCCACAGATAATTGGATTTTTAAGAGACAAGAGACAAGAAAGCTAGCAAATAATTGCCTAACGAGAGCTGCGTCGTTTCCCGCGCTTGGTGGAACACACGATGCCCTTTTTGGTTGGAGTCCTTGGGTGTCACAGTTGATATTTAAAATGATTCTTACTCACATTAAATAAGATATTTCAATTCCACAAAGCTGTCAGGAATTGATGCGGACACCAGAAATAATAGGCGCACTCTCCTTGTATTGTCCTGGTTAATAAATCAGATGCCTGGAGATGCATGCCAGACGCTCACGTGGAGGAAGGGTGTGTGTGAACGTGCACACGTATGTCACACATGCCACCCACAGAGTGTACTCCTGCACACCCACAGACATTTGTACACACCGTTGTGTACATACGCAGATGGTCAGGGAACCCAGCAGCCTGCAAACTCACAGGCACACGTGTGTGTGTGCACACACACGAGCACCTGCTCTCCCTAGGCCTCTTTTTCTCATGTAGACCATGTTCAGAGGGTCACCAGGTCAACTGGCAGCCAGCAGAAACCCTGTGCCTGACACCCGCTGATGGACAGCTGAGGTTGACACGTCTCAAGGCCAGTGCTGGGTGCTGGGCAGCTGGGCTCCGGGGCTGAGGTTTCCTGTTCTCTTCTCATAGGGTTTTGGGGATCAAGTAGCAAGCACCATAGTGTGTGTGTGTGTGTGTGTGTGTTTGTGTGTGTGCATGTGTGTAGATGCATGCCTGTGTAAGTACATGTATGCATGCAGGTGAGTGCTTATGTGCATGTAGGTGAATGCATGTGTCGTCAGCCTGTTTATGACTCGGGGGACAAAGATGTATGGGACCTGGCCAGGGAGAGATGGAGTTGGCTTTTATTGATTATTATTATTATTTATGATCATCATCAACTATTGATGTGTTGATCTGAGTGCAGGCTTGTGCATATGATCGTGGGTACCTGCCGAGGCCAGAAGAAGCGTGGGATCTGGTGGAGCTGATCACAACAGGTGGTTTGTGAGTTGTCTGGCATGGGTTCTGAGATTCAACCTTGAGTCCCTCTGAAAGAGCAGCATGAACTCTCAGCTGATGGAACCAGCCCCCAGGGCATTGGTTTTTGTAAAATGTCTTCACAAAAGAAGGCTCCGAGATTCACAGGGAGCCATGGACGCATGTCGGGCGGTAACAACACACCACCATGCAGCTACCCCTCACGATAGCTGCCATGGCTGTAAGAAACACCAGTGTCCCCAGGCCTCAGCACATATAACCGATTCATGTCAATTCTGAAACACTGTACAAGGCACGGCTCAGATGAGCCTCTGTCCACAGGAAAAAGATGACCCAGAGACAGAAATTAACTTATTCTGGCCACATAGCATGTCAGGGCAGTTCAACTTGTAGAAGACATGGGCCCCAAATGGATGTGCACACAGAAACTTGGAGCCCTTCTTTCCTGGGGTTCACTTTGAAGAACAGTTTGTGTGTTCTTGGAGAACTGTGAATGAGAGTGGGAAGTAGGCTGTTGTTT